CGTCGTTTGAAAAACGATTTCGAACGATTTTGAGATTCGATTGTGAATAATATAAATTTAAATTTATAATTTAAATTAATTCGAATCGAAGAATTTTATTTTTGATGTGAAAGAATTTTTATATATGCATGGCATGATATTTTAAATTATAACGGATCGTTAATAATAATTTATAAAGAAATTATTTAAATTATTCATCGTTCAAGAAATAACGATGAATAATTTAAATAATAGTGAATTATTTTCCCGCCTCGCTTGAAAATTTCAAATCGAGTTTATATATATGTTTCCCGTGGTTAATCTTGGGAATTTAATTGATTTACGAGAGAACGATAAGGAACGATTGGTTTTATCGTTCAATCTACTCGACGGATGACAATCCAGATGTTTTGCACGAATTATTAATTATTCGCTTATACGATTATATAAGCTTTGCTACAATGGTTGACTCATCTGGACATTAATTACGAGCTAGTCTAGACTCTAATTAGCATCCTACCGCTTGATTATTTATTCCCTCGAATCATAGTTATTCCCGCGGTACCTGACCGCTACGTCATTGCCAATTTTCCAATATTTTTAGATCGGACAGCCTGCTTCGTATCTCCTCCTCGACATCACGCGCCGCCATTTCCACGAATTTCTAGAAAACAACGTTTCAGCATCGACGAGTTGAAAAAGTAACTGGTTAAAGTTTCAAGTTAAAAATTACCAGTTATTCGAAATTATTCAAAAGCCGACTTCAACTTTATCAAACGTATCGAATAAAATTTTATCGAAGTAATTTTAGAAAAACTTATATAAATTTGAATTCGTTCATTTATTCACATAATTAATTACATCGTAACAAATAAAAAAAGTTTCGAGAAAAAGAAAAAAAAAAGATCGGCTTAGTCGATAAGGAAGCGAAAAAACGATTTCACAGAATGATTGGCGTATTTGTTGCTAGCTTGATCCGCGCATAATACGTTCGTATTTTAGATACGCCTCGATCGAAAATCCGCTAATTCTCGATGGAACGTTGGGTCTGTGGTTCCGCCATTTTAGTTTTTGGCCCGGCTCGAAAGTGGGCAATAAGCTATTGTTTCGAGGCCGTTTCGGGTAGATATGGCCGCCTAAATCCACCTCGATCCGATCGGACCACGGAAAGTTCGGTGTGCTCGTTATGCGAGCTATTTTAACCGTGCCCTTACATAACGCGCGTACACAGTTCGCGTACAGACCGAGCGTAATAAACGCCACGCGATATTTAATAACCGCTCCACGCGGTTATAAATTTTTCTCGAACTTGCGATCTCATCCTATCGTTCTATCCCCCCTCTTTGCCTAGAGAGAATTTGCAAATTATTGCAAGCGAATTATTTCTGTAGAGGCGACGTTTCTATTATACTTGTAAAAAATGACGTATGTGCTAATAGCCTCTCTTCTACACGGAATACGTTAATCGCGAAAGTTTAAGAGAAAAAGTTGCGTCAGCCTTACTGTTCGCGGTAAAAAAGTATTTTTGGAACGGAGAAATATTGGAAAATTTATATTCAAAACGATTATAAATCTTGGAAGGATTGATTTAGGATATTTCTCGACTCTTTCGCGCCTGATAAGTGAATAATTTGATTTCTTCGTTTCTTCGAAAATTCGATGCACGAATCGGAAGGAAGGGAGAAAGGAGAAATGGATCGATGAAATCGGAAAATATATATTCAAAACGGTTATAAATCTTGGAAGGATTGATTTTATTCGATGAAGGATATTTCTCGTCTTCGAAAACTCGATGCACGAATCGAAGAAAGGAAGGAAGGAAAAATGCATCGATGAAATTACAATGTAGTAGTAATAGTTTCGTACGAGGATAAAGGAGCGTTGATCGATCGATCTCTGGCTGGAAATGGATGGAAACAGAGATACTCACGGCGGCATGCGCTTCCGTGGTGAACACCTCGAGGCTGTGCGCGTCTGGTTCCGTCCTCCAGTATTGCGGATACTCTTGCGGCCGATTCTTTCGAATGCTCTTGTGACAGCAGTAACACATGAGGAGGACAACCATAATCACCCCGCTGAGCATCGCCCTGCAAGTATCACGTACCATAGTAGTGAGAATAACCATAGCATAGGAGAGGGAATGGGGACCATCGAGCGTATATTTAGCGCGCGTTAACCTTTCCCGCCATGCTTGAAACCGCTGCGTAGATCATAGCCCTCGTCCGAACAAGCTTCGACAACTTTAATACCATAGAAACGTGCGAAGAAAATTTAATCGAAATTTTTTACTATCTCTCTAACGAACGAAAAACAAATAAAAATTCGATTTCAACCGAATTAAAACCGAACTGCTCTATATTATAGGCGACAGAAAACAATTACACAATGGTACGTCCGTCGAGAAAGCGAGGATTCTTCTTGAAAACGTGAGTAATAAAAGAGCAACCGTTGAAAAGATTAACCTAACTCCATTAACTCGTGTTGAAAAAACCGACGTAAACTCACAATTCTTTCTTTCCTTTTCTCTCTCTTCTTCTTCTTCTCCTTTTTTCCCCATTCTTTTACGATCCGTGCGATAACGATTATTGCTTTCACTCGTGCGCGCGCGTCTCTCGATGGGTCGAACTTTCGAAAGTTGGAAATTGTTGGAGGAGCGAGGAAAGAATCCGCGACTCGAGGAACCGCGTAAAAGGACGAGAGAGGCCGCGATTTCACGGTTGGCTCGAGGCGCAATTTCTACGACCGCAAGCATTCGCCAATCGTGGCAATTCGGGCCATTCTTCGCGATACAAAGGGATCACGGTTACCGTAATAACACGACCCGTCCTCCTTATTTATTTCCGTTCGACTTTTTATTCCCATTCTCATTCAGCTGAATTCGAGGATCGAACTCTGATATGTAAATTCGATGAAGGATAAATTCGTTCAAAACTGTTGTCGTCGATTCAAATTGTTGAGAAAGAGAGTTTTTTTCCCCCGTTTTGCGTATTAATTTAATTTAATATACATATTTATCGCGTTTCTTTCTCTCTCTTTTTTTTTCAAGATCCGTTTGTTTACAAAAGTCGGTGAAAAGTTTCGCTCCTTGCTTGCCCTTGAGCGATCGAGTTTGAGAAACACTGATCCGTCGGTGGTTCACTCGGTAAATACGGCGTGTACGGCGTGGTGTAGAAAGGAGGCTAGAGCATTCTCGCCGGATGTTATCTTTTCTTTACCTTGTCGGGAATAGCGGCGAAGAAAGTTTCATTAGACTTTAATTGAGCAGGGCGGACGGGACGCTGCGGGCGTTCGTTAACACGCTCCCCCCTCCCGATTATGGGCAGAGCGGGAACGCGAGCAAATTTTTTTTTTCTTAACATCATACTTCCATTTCGCCACAATTTTTCTCTGAATTCAGACGTCCGTTCGTTTCGCGGCTCGCCGTATTATTTAAATTTTAAATGCAACGTCTACGTCGTTCAACGCGTTACGTAACGCGTTGATCAATCACGTTATTCGATGAAACCGTTGAAAATAACCAAGATAATTTATTCGCGAAGAAAGAAAGAAAAAAGAGAAGGAAAAACGTGTCGCTATTAATTTATTTAATAGTCCGATGCGATTTGAACGAAAATAACTTCGAATTAAATTTTATAATTATCTCTATTTCAGAGACGATGAAATCATTCCCATAAATTGGGAATAAATTTTACTACTGGGATACTTGTCATGGGATGGTAGAAAAATATTTGAACGAATCTTTCAATAATTTCAAATAACTTGTTCGAGGTAAAAATTCACCGATAATTTCATTTCAAAGCTGTTCGACAAAAATCCACAACGATGATTCTCCGCGATTCAACGGACAAACGTTTAAATCCGAACGAATTCTTCGTGATTTCTGCTCGTAAGAAAAAGGGGAAAAAAATATTTAAGCAAATTGAAAACATGTTAAAATGCATTTTTTAAAAAATGATCAAAAGTTGGATCGAATTGTAAATGCTCACCCGCCGAGAAGGATGTTAACGTTCCCGTGCAAATCGGTCTCGAAGTGACTCGTCTTGCTGGCCGCTCCGCTCGCCGTCGTCGTCACGTTGTATTCCGACGAAACGACGTCCTCCTGGTCCCACGCATTCGTCCCATTACGCCCGTCCGAAGTGTCGTTCGTCACCAACATCGTCATCGTCAATCGAGACGTCTCCCTGAAACGATTGATTTTTTTTTTTTTT